CATACCTATATTTTACCCAAGAAAACTGCCTATGATTTCCAAGTTTGATCCTTAGTATGTATTTTGCCATGGAAGCATTGGATTTCCCTAAATCATGCATATGACACAGCCAACCTAAGTACAATGTCAAATTACAATTGTATAATTAAAGTAGCAAAATTCCTTTTTAAATTTCTATGACTGGGCTGAGTCTGTAGTTCCCCATAGAGCTCTTTCATAGGACATATGAAGGCCTGAGTTTGACTTTACAGCAGAGCCAAAAAATAAATAAATAAAACTAAAATTAAAATAACATTCTCTGTTCTTGGAAGAATTTCTTCAATTCTCATACACTTATGTCAGCAAGCATAAAGCAATAGTGCCAACCCAGAGTCTGTGTGAGGTTTCTGTCTTTCTAGGAGAAAGACACCTCCATTATGTCTAGAGGTAGGAAGAGCCCAGCAAGTACAGAGGTGCCAGAGAGAGAGATGGACAGCACAACACAGGGCAGAGAAGACTGGTGTGGGATCTTCACAGCAACCCCATCTTGAGTGTCAGTGAATTCCTACAATTTGTATATCCCCATTGGAGGGTTGATGACATTCTTCTCAAATCCACTTCCTGGCAAGGTTTCCACTGTAATTTTCCCACAGTCTTATACCTCTTTCCTTGGCTTCCAGTCGCCCCAGGGTCTGGCTCCCTCTACTTCCCTAACTTCTGCCATTAGTGATTGGTTGCCTCAGGATGAGCCCTCTGCCCACCCCTCAAATGAAGGATCAGCTTAAATTTTTAATTTTTTTTAATGTATTTGGTACAGGATCTCACAATGCATCTTGGACTACTAGTGATCCTCCTGTTTTCAGCCTTTCCAGCACTGGGATTACAAGTGTGCACCACCATGACCAGTCTCAGTGGCTGGTTCAGTGCACCTGGGGGCAGGGCCAGCATGGTATGTGGTTCCAGGGATCAAACTCCTGTCCCTGAGCTTGCCTAAGCACATGCTTAGTCCACTGAGCTATCTCACTGTAGTACCCACAAAGGTTAGGTTAAAAATTGTTAAAATAACAGTGAGTATCTGAGGAAAAGTGGCAAAGCATAACAAGGTGAAGAATCTGATTTCCCAAATCTCTGACAAATCACCTCACTTGAATACTGAGAAATAGGCCTTTAAGTTGTTAGAGCTTATGATGTTACTCTAAACGTCACAAGGTCCTACGTGCTTGATAATCTAAATGTTCTTTTAATGCAAGATGACTATTTCACAGTCTGGGTTTTACTCTCCGTGGCATTTTTTGAATGTCTGGAAAAGGTTAGACATTAGGCTTTACAACACTTTTAACAGCAAGGAGCTCCATAGCTAATATTAAAATTACACTGTTTTTTGAACAAACTGAGCTGATTCAAATCATTAGGACTCTCAAGTTGCTTCAGGCTTCACCTACATAGTGTCCCATTTATAAAAAGAGCTCTCTGCCCACCTGGAAGAAGTACCCCTAAGTAGAAAATTCATATGGATCACCTATCTTTCTGCTATAGTGTCTAATGCAAACATGATGATGCTTTGGTCCTAAATGATTGATTTTAGAATTAGCAATCAAATCATCTTTAAGGCCACAAGGCTTTTCTGTCTCCTTATTTGTTATTTTACCATGAAAGTAGAAATGATTATCACATTTTCTTAAGTTTTCAAATAATCAGTAATTAATAACATTTAATTCTTATGCCTTGACATGAATATTTGTCTCCTGATCCTAATATATATCTCTTACCTAGTGTTCGTAAAACCAGCAAATGGAAACCCATCGAAAGGGACTTCAAATCAGGTTGAACAATTCTGAAATAAGGCAAAGGCAGCGTAACATTAAAAGGTTTTAAAATATCAAATGGAATTCAATATTAAAATAATATCATTTTTTCTTCATGACTGACTGAAAACCCTCAAGTGAGTGGCACACATTAGACAGTTGTTGTGTTTAGTTTTAAAAGGTACATACTTCAGAGATAATAATTATCACATTATGTTTCATATGTTATGATTTCCAGATAGATTCAAAAGCAATTTTATATATTCTTCTTATAAAAACCCCACCAGAACAAGACTATAACAGGTTTTGTGGTGCTTCTGAAGACGCTGAGCCTACTGGCACCCTTCAGCGGCCACGGCCTGCAGAAAAATAGCTGATCCCTTTTCCTAGGCATAGGTCTCAGCACAGCTCTCTTGCCTCACTTATTTATGTCAGTGATGTAACAGAAAGTCTCACTACTGTATTTACTGAGCTACATAATGCAACCCGGCTCATGTAAAATGTTATCTGTATTCTACTATCTATGGTCAATACTATTTTATTTTATTTTTTATGTATTTAGTGCAGGGTCTACAGGGTCTCACAGTAGATAGGACTCTTAGTGATTTTCCTGTCTTCAGCCTCCCAAGTGCTGGGATTATAGGCATTATTAGCATCCGCCACCATGCCCAATCTGGTCAATACTATTTTAAAAATACACAGCCCATTTGAATCCACAGGTAGAGATTTACTCAGTGTTACACTTAAAAAATTATTTCCATGTTCCATTTCCCTTTGTTCAGTAAGCTGATGTCATCACTACACCAGTGATAAGCTAATACGTAGCCAGCCAAACAAAATTATTTGGTGGCTGTGGAAGTACCGAGTTTCCTTGAGGGAAGAGACTGCAGCTAAAAATAAAAATCATATTTATAGCCATACTGGACTGAGTGATACTGTTTTGTTTTATTTTATTTTGTTGAACTACTTGATGAATATTCAACAAACATTTACTAAATACCTCTTAGGAGATATCACGCTAGTTTTAGTTTTTGAAAATTAGGAGACAAAGGATGATTCATATCAACTAAATGGTTTGATATGAAGATTAGAAAATAGCTATTTAACCTCTTAGTCTCAGTTCACTTACTTGTTAAGTGGGCAGAACAATGCTAATCACAGATCTTGTGAGTATCCAGTGCCATGAGGAAGTGCCTTATACCTCAGCTTTAGTCACCTATACTTGGTTTGCAATCCTTAATGGAAAAGTTTTATTTATTGAGGTGCTCAAAAGGGTTTGGTAAAACTAGGAGTTGTGGTAAATGCCTAGAATCCCAGCTCCTTTAAAGGGTGATGCAAGAGAATCATTTCAACTTCAGAGTTCAAAATAAGCCTGATGAGAGGCTTGCTTCATGAGAAATAATGAATTCTTGTCTCAAAAACAAACAACAAGAACAGCAAAAGGAAAAAAGAAAGAGATTTGAGAGCTTACAAAATTTCACAGGGAAAAACTGAATTAAGCAAAGCATATTAAAATTTAAACTTAGATGGAATGGTTAACAGCAGCAAATCAGCCTTTCTGAGATTAAGAGTCCAGATGCTGGAATGTAGTAATATGAGGAAGAGAAGGAGGGAAGTCTCTGGTATTAGCAAGGATTTGTTGTGTGAGTTGAAGCCCAGGTAAAGAGCAAAGAAAGGGATGCCAAGATAGAAGATGGAGGTGGGGAAGACGGTGCTTTCTCCCTGAATCCCAGTTCTTAGTGTGAGAGAAGCACCACAAGCCTACTGAGGCACAGTGTCTGTAGGTGACTCTAGACATCT